AGAACAGGTTTAAATTACAATTCAGTAAACTCGGCACGCTAATTAAACTGGTAGGAAAATATTTGAATCACATCTGGGTGTCTTAAGTCACACGGTTTGGGAAGCAGTAGCTCTCATGTGTACAAACTATCGCGATATTTTATAATTGTAGCAATGTCACAATTTCCATGAAAGTGTCGCTCAGAGCTTTGTGACGTTTCACATGTTTCACATGCTACATCTCCTCTGCCTGCCCAATGCACGCAGTACGCCGTTCTGAGATATTTGTCCTCTGCGGTGCAGTTTGCAACCATTGTCTTAAGGTTTTACATGTCTTCATGAGCGTTCCAGATAATGTAGGGAATAAAGGTCATTCTTGCACATAGAAACTATTTGGAATTGCTGGACGGCCAAGATGATGCTGTATATAGAGGTCGAAAAATGCAGTCGCGTCGTCACAGTCGAAAGTACCGCTCGCCCATTTCTAGCGGTGTAGTTTCTGAACTCAACGCACAGTATCATCTCAAAGCAATGCGAAAATTCAACACATCATTACATGTATTACAACAAAGCGTTGTTGTTTTTTTGCAATTGCCAGCGGTTCATTTCATAGGAGCACATGCGACGTGCACGCTGTTGCAGACATGGGTTGCGCTTGAGAACAGCCGCGATCAATCATGAAATTCGAAACATTAATTACTTTCGAGAGAAATGCTCTCACACGTCCTGCACTTAGTTGCGGCAAAGAAGCAACACAGTGGTGCTTTGGCGCATCCAGCATGGTGCTGAGTGGTAAAAACCGGTTCTTTGCTGCATCCACCTGAAGAGACAAAAAGCTCCAGCGGGGAGAGGAGAAAGCGGCGCAGATCAAAAAAACACTGTATTTTTCCGAAGGTATAGGGGCTTTGTACTCCTTTTTTCTAGAATGTTGTACTCCTTTTCTCCTGATGCTGTACTCTTTTTTTTTCTGAATTTATATACGTGTAGTGTCCTTTCGTGACTATGCATAAGAATAACATATTTTTGTGATTTTATTTTTATATGCCAGTTTCCTTACACTATCACTGCTTGCTGAACTGTAACCGGCTGAGAAGCCTAGTCAAGCTCGCAGGAGCTTTTTCTTTCCATGCCCTCTACTTGCTGAAGTGGAAAAATAAAATGATTGATTGATTGATTGATTGATTGATAGGCGGTACATCTCTGGCAGCCTTATTGTTGCTTCTAGCCTATTGCGACGTCATGATAACCGAGCGTTTCTTTCAGCATTTATTCCTACTTCTTTGCCTATTGTGCTTGCCTGCGGCATCACAGTGACTTGCTTTGCCGACACCGAACTGCTTTTTCTAGTGCCTCTCCACTCGTACTCGCCATCTTTATCTACCAAGACTTATCCGGATGCTACGACTGCTTTAATGGCCACAATAAATCCTGATCTCACGGCAGCACACAAGGAAGAACTTTTACAACAGAACCGAAAGTTGGGCTAGTTGGTCCTCTCTTTCTTTCTGTTTATTCGTGTACTTGAACAGACAGTTACACCAAGAACTTTTAGCGCTACTGCAGAAACACACACCTTCATTTGATGTCCACGGCAAAAACTACCGTTGCTTTACATTGGAGTATCTAAACTGAAGGCAATTCAATTGTATGTCACCGCCCCTATCGTGTATCTTCCCCTGAGTGGAAGATCACCGACCTGCTGAAGGGAGACGTCATCCTACTATCCTCCAGCTCTTGGTTATCACCTGTAGTTTTTGTCCGGAAGAAAGATGGTTCCGTGCGATTCTGTGGGGATTATCGAGCTCTTAACAAGATTACACGCAAAGACGTGTACCGGATGACACACATAGACGACGTCCTTCACTCTTCGTAGGGCACTGAATTTTTCTCCAGCCTTGACCTTCGATCTGGGTGTTCGCAAATACCCATGCCTGAAGCCGACAAGGATAAAAGGGTTTTTGAAACACCAGACGGCGTGCATGAATTCAACGTCATGCCTTTCCGCTTATGTAACACTCCTGCCATGTTTGAACGAATAATAGACGCAATTCTTCGTGGCATATAGTAGAAGACCTGTCTTTGCTATCTAGATGACATCGTCATCTACCACTTTTCGTCAAGATTTTGAGCGATTGAGCGAAGTTTTGACATGCTTTTCCAATGCTGCACTTCAGCTAAACACGAGCAAATGTCATTTCTCCTAGAAAAACATTAAGGTATTACGTCATCTTATCAACAAAGACAGCTTTCGACCAAATCCTGACAAGATTTCTGCCGTTATAAGCTTCTCTCTCCCAGAAATTCTGAAACACCTATGGAGTTTCTTGGGTCTGGCCTCCTACTTTGACTGCTTCGTCAGTCATATTGCTACAATCGCCTTGCCACTGCACAAGCTCCTGACATCAGGATCGGCTTTCACATGGACCGACAACTGGGAGCGGGCTTTTCAAGCCCTCAAGCGTGCCCAAACATCCGACCCCATCTTACATTATTTTGATTAGAACGCACCTACTTGTTTACACACTGACGCTAGTGGCCATGGAATCGGAGCAGTTCATTTACAGCAGGATACCATTTCCCAAGAGAGAGGTCTTGCGTATGCCAGTTGTGCTCTAACCGCCGCTGAGCGGAGCTACTCTATCACTGAGCAGGAAGGTCTTGCTGCTGTTTCGGGCTATACAAAAGTTTCAACCATATCTTTACAGACACCACTTCACAGTCATTACAGATCATCACGCCTTATGTTACCTATCTTTCCTGAAAAACTTGTTCTCTGAAAAATTAGTCTGGTTGTCTGGGTCGTTGGGTACTCTGCCATCATTAGTATGATTTCGACATTGCCCATAAATCTAACAAAAACCACTAAGATGTAGACACCCTCTTTCGATACCTTTTGCCACCATCGCCATCGAGATCATTTGTTCAATACTTGTCACGTGATCTTGAGGCTGCATCACCCCACACATTAACCCACCTAGTGATTGCTGACACGCAGGTTTTGAATTACTACGCTCAGTTTGCCTCGAGCCAGGGTAATGATGCATATTGCAAGTGCCTTATCGAACTCCTAAGTGGTGGATCACCCCCTTCTAATGCTAGATCGCGTCGACAATTATAATAGTTTAAGATCGACACAATGTCTACTACATCGTTCAATCTACACTACTGCTGAACACCTCTAAGTTCCCGTTTTTCCCCATTCTCTATGTCAACAAGTACTCAAAGCCTTTCATGACGACCCGTGTGCAGGCTACTTGGGATTCAACAAAACTCACTTAGGATTCAACAAAACTCGCAGCCGCGTCAAGCAACATTTTTCCTGGCCTGCCTCTCTACATTTGTGGCCAAGCATGTTGCATCTTGTCCTGTATGTCTACGGCGGAAGTGACCAACTTTGTCTGTAGCTGGCCTAATGCAACCGCTTTAGTGTCCCGAGGCATCATTCGCCATTGTTGTGATAGACCTAGTTGGACCTCTCCCCATCATGCCAAGAGGACATCAATGGATCGTAATAGCCGCTGATCACCTAATACGGTACGCAGAGACGGCTCCTCTATCTACAAGTTCTGCCTCAGACGTTGCTGATTTTTTTCTTAAGTTCATTGTGTTACGTCATGGTGAACCTCGTGTCCTGTTGAGTGATCGCGACAAGAGTTTCCTCTCCACTGTCATTGAAGACCTACTGAGGACTTGTGGCACAATGCACAAAACAGTGTCAGCCTGCCACCCTCAAACAAAAGATTTAAATGAGAGATTTCATCGCACACTAACAGATGTTATGGATGTATATCTGACCACACAATGACAACTGGGATATAATTCTGCCTTTTGTGATGTTTGCCCACAACACCGCTGTCCAATGAACTACTGGCTATTCTCTATCTCGTGTACGGCCGTTCATGAGTGTTCACAATCAACGTCTTCCCCGCCACGATTGTCTAGTGGCTAAGGTACTCGGCTGCTGACCCTCAGGTCGTGGGATCGAATCCCAGTTGCGGTGGCTGCATTTTCGATGGAAGCAGGAATGCTGTTTGCCAGTGAGCTCTGATTTCGGTGCACGTTAAAGAACCCCAGGTGTTCGAAATTTCCACAGTTCTCCACTAGGGCGTCTCTCATAATCACATGGTGGTTATAAGACTTCAAACCCCACATATAAATTAATAAATCGGCGATCATCGTCTCTTTCCTGAATATTCCCACTGACACTTCGGCAACCTTATCTGAGCAGTTTGTCTCCAGATTTTACCAATGCCGGCAACGTGTTCGCCTTAACACAAAAGCTTGTCAGCAAGATCGAAAATAATGCTACGACAGCTCCCATCACAATGTTTCTTTCAGTCCTGGAGATGTAGTACTGCTTTGGACGCCCACTCGTACTCCAGGACTGTGCAATAAATTGCAGTCACGGTTTATTGGGCCCTTTATAGTCAGTCAACAAACATCCCCAGTGAAGTATCGCGTCGCCCTTGTCGAGCTTTCTTTGGACTGCCGCTGCTCCATGCTTTATGTATGAAACCATTTGTTCAACGTCCCGTTGACATCTAACGCACGGCCGGGCTGGCTGCTCCGCGGGGGGGGGGGAGAATCAGTGTGAACACTATCCATGCGCCCATCTACTCATTTGTTCATACTCATCATCACCATGCTGGACTGGGTGGTGGAGCTCATTATCAGCAAATGAAAGAAGTCTTGCCTTACACTATTTTTAGTTTTTTCTTGCAGCTACGTCTGTGTTTTCCTTGTACCTTTACTTTTATAAAAGTGGTTTTACTAATATGCCCAGACTGCTGTATTGCTGGGCATTACAAAAAGTTTGGGGCATCAAGGGGCCTGGGTTGGTATGTTCAACATTATCACGTGTGAATGCAAAGGCAATTGTTAAATGCCAGTCTTGTATTTATCCAAACTGAACGTGGTGGAGAATATAGAACATGTGCATTTGCAATAAAAGCGCTCAAAATATTAAGTGTGTTTCATTTGAACATCTGTCGTCATTCTGGTTGCGGAATTTTTCGCCACAGATTGTCATCGACATTCCGAACAAGTGGTGCGGCAAAGAAGTCCACCTACGATGGGACTCCGAAAGTGAAGCACTTCTTTTCACGAAAGATGGGAAACCTCTTCAAGGGCTTTCAGGTAGTGTCTGCTATCACTGGCAGCTCATTCAAGCATACTTGAAATTGAGATTGGACTTTGTTGTTAGAGCTGTGTTGCTTCTAATGACTGCATAAGCATGTACTTGAAGTAGCCATCATAACCAATGCATATACATTGTGTCTGTTTTAGAAATGTCATTGCGTTCAGGTATCAAACTGACGCCAAAAGGGGAGGAAAATTTAGGCAACACTGGTATTTTACTATTGGAGAGATTATAAAATTCTTGTTTAACAAGCTGTAGTGATTCAAAGTATGTTTTTTTCTTTTTAGTTTGTTTTGTTTTATAATATTTAATGCAGTATTTATTAACATGTGTACATATGTTATTGTTACATTTTCATACCTGCCAACTTTTCCAATTTTCCTGCAAAATATATGTATTTCGACCGCGCTTACGATTTTATGAATCTTACCTGAAATTTTACGAAAAATATTTCATTTCCGATGAAAAAAAAAATTTCTAAAGTAGCGCGGCTTCTGCGATTGGCTATGTTGCATTGCCGTAGCTGGTTGCGGAGGCCACAAAAACAGTTTTGTGCTATATCTCGCCTCCAGGAGAGAACAATATGCATTGGTGTTATTTTCACATACCTGTCAAGTTTCCCGCATTGTCCAGGAGACTCTCGGATTTCGACGGTTTCTTTCGTTTGTACGGTTGCCATCAAAATCTCCCGGAAATCTAAATTTGTGTGTGACATGTGGCCGCATTGACATAAGTGCAGGTCAGTCTGTTCCAGGCTTTTTGAGAGCCCACCGCATTTTGTTATAAGCGAACTTGAGAGGCGTTCATCTAAACATACAGTAGAGTCTCAGTGATGCGAAACCGGGGCAGATACGAATTCGTGAAATTCTCCAGCTAAATTCATGTGTCCATTAGGCCAATAGTACCGAAATCGTGAAACGAAGGCCGATCGAGAGCAGCGGGCTCGAACTTCGGAAGTACGTGCGCAACCAGCGCACGCACTATCTTCTACAGTGCGTGTGGTTGTCGTTGCCCCAACTGCCGTAGTAGTTCGACACGATCATGTATGGCGACGATGTTACTGACAAAACTCCGAAAATGTGCGCAACGCTCGACTAGTCAAAGCAAGGCTGCTTTTCCCAAACTCTGTTGTACAAAACTGCGGCAGTTGTGATCATAGATAGCATAAAACAACTTAGTTTTGAAGGCATGTGGATTGAAAACAAAACTGCCGTTTGCCGCAACCGTCGCAGCGATGCAATAGCGATCTATGAGCTCCAAGGATATGTGGTTGACTCAGCGGTAGATTAAAAGTGGTAAAGATGTAAAAAAGGCTAGAAGCGTTTTGGCATTTCTGTCCTAAGAATCTAACGGCGAGCAAAGCCAAAGCTTTGACCTATGCTTTCGCGGCAGCCAGCTGCGCCGTCCCGTTCGTTTACATGTGAAGACATACGCGAGTTGTTTTCATGGAATCAATTATTTCTCTATAGTTGTTTTGATGATGCAAAACTTCGGAAGCATTTGCGCTCCCTTTTTGATACTCTCACCTTAGCAGGAAACCCTACCCTCGTGTGTTTGGCCACTGCAAGCCATTATGAGACCGCAACACCGATGTTTGCACTTGTCTTTGGGCCCCCCCTCCTTGTTTTTCGCGATGTTTTTTCTTCTGGTGGCGAAATTGGTGGAAATAATTCAGTGCCTCGATATGACTTATGGTGGCAAAACATCATTATGCTTGTCGCTAAAGACAAATTGATTACACCTACAAATTAAAGAAAAATCGGTAACCCCTCCCCTCCTTGCCCCCGTTCCCCACTTGACGGGTTTTACGAATTTCTCTTTTGCCAGGTTAGCAGGTATGCATTTTTTTCTTTTTTACGCTTTTATTCTATACACCTTCTTGTTGTTTTCTATTTATTTTGTGTGTTTCAACATTTTCTTGCATTACGCTCCTTGCATACTGCTAATAGTTACCTATACAAGCCACGAAGATATGGCTGTTTTTGCTAGACGAAAGAACAAGAGAAGAAGTCAAGGAGAGCGTTAACTTTTGACAGCTCGTTTCTATCATGAAAATTTACTGGCACCCACATGCACAGCAAGCCAGGCACACATTGAGTATAAACCAGCCTAATCACAACCTGTGAACTAAGACACTGACATATCACCGATACACAAGGAACCTCGTAAGTTTATTATGTGGAATGCAACCAACGATTCTCAAGTCATGGTGTCCCTGCCTCTGCCGATGACCAAAATTTCATTCAGGCAATGCTCACACTTACTAACATAGCAGCGCGTCAGCTAATGTGCCCCATCTTTTTTACCGTTTAGTGAACACTTGTGTTCTCACACATGCTCATTCACGTACTTTCCCATCTGGCTGACTCATGTCTTGCTGCAGGATAGGGGAAATTCATGCTCCTATTGCTCCAAATCGCTCCAAGAGATAAATGCTGCTCCATGCTGCTCCAAACAGTAATTTTTGTCAGTAATTGCTCCAAACTTGTTCCGAAATGGCATCCAGAGAATGACAATAACAAACTTTTACTATTACACTAACTCAAATAAAAATTAAAGAAACCGAAAATAATTTCTGTACTATCATCCAGTGTGCAGCATTATTGGGTCTGCTCTCATTTGTGGGAGAACTTGCATATTTAAGAGACTTTAAAAGTAATTAATATGTCGACGTTCATTGCTGAAATAATGGTCCATAAACCCCATAGTTCTAGTTTTGCGCCAATGAAATGGTTATTTTGAAATAAAATTATGTTTTAATGGTCTGCATTACATTAGTGCACGTAAAATCACTTGCGCTTGAAAGTAGTCTTTTAGATGTCACTGTTACCGTGGCAAATGCTGCCTTTACTACGTGGCCGCTGACACCAGTAGCAGCAGAGCAAAAGTAGCCGGAGCCACTGTAACAACAGCAGCTATTGAACTATATTATGCATTCTTGGATGCCATGAATCTGCTTGCTTGATTCACTTGGGCCCCGCTAGATAGCACCACCTGTCCATCCTAATCAGTCAAAAACGGGACTGGTTAGAAATGCAGTGAAAGTAATCTTCATGCTTTACAAACACATGCATCCTGTATACATGCTTCACAATGCAGCATGTAATATTTCCATAATAATGCGTGGTACAAGCTTACATTGTCACTGGACATCAGAACATGGGAATATCATAATAACTTCATAGTTTAAAGCCAGTCACCCACTACCAAAGACACACACGCTACTGCACCCTTGTGGCCATGTAGTGAAGTGAGTTCAAAGGAAGTTCAAGAAAATTTCATACACTAGGGGTTTAAAGTACGCACAAGGAATAGAATATGGCTATCGCGTTCAGTTCTCAAAGGCGAAGCTTAAGGGTCCCCCAATTTTTGAATCACCGGTGCATTCCCCATAGTAACATCAGGGGCTCTTTTTTTTATAAATCAAACAGAAACCGACAAGCACCATTTTATTACATGTCTTAATGGATGGAAGGTTCTGTTTTAATGCAGATAGTTACTAGCGTATAATTGTAGACGGACACACATGTCATTGGTATTATTTCGTGAATGTCCCACTCATGACGCACTTCGTATCATACATTTATGGTTGAAGCTTGTGACGAGCAATAGCAGACGACGCTAGGTGCGTGTCTCGCGCTTTTGCGCGAGAAAAACAAAATAGATCGGCACCGAGCATGCGGGTGCTCGAGGAACGTACAATAAAAAAAGGGTCTGGCTGTCCCTTCCTGATCTTGAAAGAGTGTGGACGTCCTTCTTAGGCCGCCTCGAAACCCAGCATATCCGACGGCCACAACGGTACGTCACAATTGGCGCCCAGCGGCTCGAGGTGAACTAAGAAGACTTTTACATCTTCTATGTGGGGACGTCGCTCCCAAGCGCTCCTTTGGCTCAACCACTGATGTTTAGACAGCGTCGGCTCCGTGTTCCCAAGATGGCGACGGACTGTGCTTTGTCGACATGTTCGAGCAGCTGGATGACGCCACCCGGGTAAAAACCTACCGATCAGCTGTGTCCGAAGCCGATGACCTAAGGACCGAGGTGGGTCAGCTCCAGAGCAAATTGGAGGAACTGAAACTGATGATTCTCAAGGACCATGACACCGTCAAAGACGATGACGCACCAAGACCGTCTCTTGACTCGCAGATGAAGGCAAGTCACGACCTCTTGTGTAACTTACTTGCTCCACTAGTAGAGCGCATCGAGTGTCTGGAGTTAAAAAACACATGAAAATTCTGATGTCAAATCAAGCACGAGTGTAGAAGAAAGCAGTGCGTCGATGAATCTCAAACACAGTTCAAGAAAGCAACAAAAACAAACGAGAAGCGATACTCCCGTGTGCATGTCTAATAATGAAGATGCTCGTCACCGACTTTCGAGTTTCACGGCGAGCTCTTTACCACATTTGGGAAAGATCTAAACGTCTGGTTTCACCAAGTTGACTATTGGTTTAGACCAACCAGAAATTTACAGGAACTACAATCATTCATCGGGCTCACATCGTACTTCAGGAAGTTTATTTGGAATTACAGTGTTATCGCAACACCTCTTCGATCACTCCTAAAGAAAAACGCTACTTTTTCTTGGGAAGGAGATTAGTAAGTGACACTTGAGACATTAAAGTGCTCGTTGTGCCAGCTGCCTGTCTTTAAGCTATTCTCCGAAAAACCAGAATTTGGTGTCCAAGTACACACAGATACACCTCGGCTCGGCTTGGGAGGTCTGTTGCTGCAAGAAGATGGAGAGTGACGATATTGTCCAGTGCTATACTTGAGCCGATCTCTCAAAGGAGCAGAGTTTCATTACTCTTCGACAGAACTGGAAGCTCTTGCAGTAAAATGGGCATTAGAATAGCTACAACCACCTGATTGGGTGAAAATTTCACGTTGTCAGCAGCCACCATGCGCTGTGCTGGGTCTTGTGCTACAAGGAAGGAAACCGCCTTCTTCTTTGGTCACTGATTCTGCAGGAGTTTGACTTTGATGTCATTTGTTAA